TATTCAGTCAGATCCAATGTAATTGATCAACCACATGTTCCAAAAAAGTTTTTTTCCTCTGCTAGTAAACCCTGTTTTATCATCTCACTAAATATTTTTTTGAAACCTGAATATGAAAATACACAAAAAACCATAAATGCATCAATAATGGAAAATTGGACCAAATAAAATAAATCACCAAAACAAAAGGTAAAGATTTAAACATTTTAGACCCCACTTTAAATGAAAATAGACTTGCTTTAATCACTTTTGAACATGTTTTTTGCCAATCCTTAATTATTTTTTTAAAAATTATTATTTACTGTTGAAAATATTACATATGTCCCCTTTTGTCCTTCATTAACCCCCTCCAGACTGTTCCCTGCCCCAGGCCCTCACTGCCCCATATATGCATGGCCTCATCTGTGTCCTTGGGCCATGCATATATGCATACAAGGTCCTGGTTGGTTACTTCTACCCACCCTCCCACTCTTTCCTCTGAGATTCTGCACTCTGTTCCATGCTTCCATGTCTCTGGGTCCACTATGTTCATCAGTTTATTTTGTTACTTAAATTCCACATATGAGTGAGATCATGTAATACTTGTCTTTCTCTGACTGGCTTATTTCACTTCACATGATACTCTCCAGGTCCCTCCATGTTATCTCAAAGGATAAGAGATTCTTTTTTTTTATTGCTGCATAATATTCCATGCTATGAATTTTTTTTAATGGAGGAATAAAAAGACAATTTTCCAATAATATGAAATCTCAATTTTACATGAACATTTTCCAAGATCTAAAAATATGCTTTCCCTTTGAACTCAACTTCAAAATGAAGCTGCACAGATTGGTCTGGCTCTATGTGTCTCATCAAAAACTGAATTCAGCTGAAACCGGTTTGGCTCAGTGAATAGTGTCAGCCTGTGGATTGAGGGGTCCCGGGTTGATTCCGGTCAAGGGCATGTACCTTGGTTTCGGGCAGCTGATCGATGACTGTCTCTCATCAATGTTTCTAACCTTCTATCCCTCTCTCTTCCTCTCTGTAAAAAAATCAATAAAATATATATTTTTTTAAACTGAATTCACTCAGCACCACCTCTAACCAATCTGTGAACATCCTCCAAAACCATTTATGTCCAACTCTGGTCTACTCCTTCAGTTTCCCATAAAATGTAAAGATTTCCCATAAAATGTCAAGTAGCTCAGTTGGTTAGAGCGTCATTCTGATACACCAAGGTTTCAGGTTCAATTTCTGGTCAGAGCAAATACAAAAGGCAACCTATGAATGCATCAATAAGTGGAACAACAAATCTCTCTCTCTCTCTCTCCCCCCACCCCCTTCTGTCTCTCTAATGTCAACAAACAAAAATTTAAAAACATCTTTCTTTAAAACTTTCAACATGACAACATAGAAAAACTATAGCTGAAGATATAGGTGTATATGTATATGTGTATATATTCATTTTTAATTAAATAAATACATATATTCAATTTTAATTTAGGAGAAATGGAAACTCCATCTATAACAATTTTTTTCTTTTTTAAATTTTAAGTCTTTTTTTCTCTTTTTTTATTTTTATTAAGGTATTATATGTATACATACCGTACCAATCCCCACCCTATCTACCGTAATTTCTGATGTAAAAGTAAAAAATGTTCCCACAACTAAAAACTAAATGCTTTAAACTTTTAACAGAGGAACTTCTCTCTTTCTATCAATTTCACATTTAACAAGAAAAAAAAAAGAATGGACTAGTACATAGCCTGCCTTCCACTAATTTGAATGTGCTTTCTCACTTGGAGCCATCCTGCAAGGGAATAGGCTGGTAGGCCAATAATATTTTAATCCAGTCAGGCATATCCTAATCCAATCCCATGGCTCCTCATTGTGATTCAAGATAGAACTAAACTTAAAACTAAAAGCCACAAGATAAGGATCCAGAGATATTTTCAGTCAGGAAAGAGAAAGATGAGAAACTCCAGCTAGATAATTTCACTTAATCATTTATTTAAATAAATATGAAATATGGCTCAGTGATTGAGCATTGATCTATGAATCAGGAGGCCATGGTTTGATTCCTGGTCAGGGCACATGCCCGGATTGTGGGTTCAATCCCCCACGTGGGGCATGCAGGAGGCAGGCAATCAATGATTCTCTCTCATCATTGATGTTTCTATCTCTTTCTTCCTCTCCTTTCCTCTCAGAAATCAATGAAAGTATATTTTTTTAAAATATGAATTGAGTGACTATAATGCTTTAGGTTCAGTATAGAATTTTAAAAAATCAAGACTTTTTAAAAAAATTAGACTTTTTGGGGGGAAAAAAATGTTTATTTTCATGAGGAACATAAGACAAGTACAGAAACAGCATTAATTGACAAGTTGGATTTGAATACTGACCCCATATTTAGTAAGTGGTGACAGTATCCTCCTTATTCATGGGGCTCTAAGATCTACAGTGGATGCCCAAATCATGAATAGGTACACTTTGTATTTTTCTAGACATACCCATAATAAAGTTTATTTGTAAATTAGGCACAGGAAGAGATTAACAATAATAGCTAACAATTAATAACTATTTTAATTACTTGCAGAAATTACTCAGATATTTCACCCTTTTTAAAAATATTTTTAATTGATTTCAGAGAGGGAGAGAGAAATGGAAACATCCATGATCAGAGAGTATCATTGATCAGCTGCCTCCTGCATACTCCCTACTAAAGACTGAGCCCGTTGACCCTACAGTCCACAGGCCAATGCTCTATCCCCTGAGCCAAACCAGCTAGGGCTCAAATATTTCACTCTTAAGTAAAATGTTGGCTTTGGGGCTAAAATAGCTAATTATATAAAGAGAAAAACTATTTTCATTTTAAGGAAGTATCCATTGGATCCTATGTGGGGATGTGTTTAAAATATTAATAAGACTATTGAATATTGTCAAATACCTATCCAAATCTGAAAGTTATGGATAAGTTATGTTACTGATTTCCTTATTTTAAAGTATCATTGCCTTCCTGGAATAAATCTATTTAGTCATTAGAGTTAGATTGTATTAGCTAATTATTCATAAATAACTTAATTTTTCTCACTATGCAATTCTTCAATTTTTTTCTATCAATATTGTGTTTACTTAAAACTTTGAATTTTTTTTTTCTTTTCCAATGCCAAGTGGATTTGGAAAAATCTGCTTTTCAAGGGTTTCACACATATCCTTGTGGCATCGTCTGTGTACTGGTGGTTTTGAAAAGGCAGATATTTTTATGTCTTTTGATATTTCTTACATAGAAGTTTTTTAACTTCTGAAATCAGGTTTAGTTCATTTTTTCTAGAAAAGTGTCTATATTTTTTGAGTTTTGTAAAATTTCCCAGTTATGTTATTTTATAATTTATCTAACTCATTAATTTCTGCATATGTTTTTATTAATTTCTTCCTGCTACACTAGGTAAGTTTGTTTTTTCCTGATTTTATGAGACAGAAGCTTAATCCAGTTAATTTCATTGATAAGGTTAAAATTTTTCCTCGATCCTATTTTAACTGATCACATTTATTGCTATATGTATTTCATCCATTTTGAAATCTAAAAACATTTCCATAATGCTTATTATGTTTTAGATATCCATTTTAGCGCTTTACAAATATTAACTCATAGAACTGTCATACTAATCTTATGAGTAGATGCGATTACTATACCCATTTTACAGTTGAGGAAACTGAGTCGCCATGAACTTAAGTAATTTGCTAAGGTCACACAAACTGATACAAGTTAAACGGGAATTCAAAACCAGGCAATATGGCTCCAGAGTTCATAAAGTTAACAAATATTCTGGTTCCCTGGTTCCTACAAATTAGAAGGACATCTGTTCCTGTAATCTACAAGTCAGTCCGTTGAAAATGTTTAACTTCCCCAAAAGAAAGACTTCCATAGTTTCTGATATTTAACATGAACGCCTACTTTTATTGCATGAAAATTAAGAAGGCTGGTGTGTGTTTTTTTCTGCTTTGTTTTCTCTTCAGCCTAATATACTATTAATTTTGTGATTGATCATTGGCACTTTACAAAAGGGAGCATTCTATTACCAGGTACATAAATTCTACCCTATTGTTCATGTTGTTTAAGCTTTCTGTATCCATATTTTATATGATGTTGTTTCTTGTCTTGCACAGCATGAAGTAAAAGGGGCTCTGAACACCCAGTTCCGATGTGTGATCAAGGTTCGCACCAACAATGCTCAGGACACCAGCAGGTTGTCCGACAGTTTGACTCAGCTCTGATACTATATCCCTGGAGATAGCGTCAGATCTCACAACTACAGGGCTCAGTCCTACAAAATTGCCGTCGGCCCCACCCAACCACTGCCTTCAGATGCCAGTCACAAGCCCAGGAACTTCTGACCCATTGGCTATAAACCAAAGGTTCCTGGCCACCTCCTTGGGTTTTATTAATTTGTTAAGAGTATCTCACAGAATTCAGAAAACATTTCACTTATTATATTAACTGGTTTCTCATAAAAAGTTATTGTGATGGTCATCAGAAGGAGGAATGCACGAAACCAAAAGGAGTAAAGGATTTTTTTAGGTCAGATAGGCTGAGCCCCCAAATGGGGCCAACACCCAGGAATGGGGAGTCAGATATTTTATTTTATTTTTTTTAAATATATTTTATTGAGTTTTCACAGAGAGGAAGGGAGAGAGATAGAGAACTAGAAACATCGATGAGAGAGAAACATCGACCGGTTGCCTCTTACACATCCCCTACCCGGGACCAAGGTACATGCCCTTGACCGGAATCGAACCTGGGACCTTTCAGTCTGCAGACCGATGCTCTACCACTGAGCCAAACCGGTTTTGGCGGGAGTCAGATATTTTAAAGGACTCGGGGGGGGGGGGGGGACCTTTTCTGAGTGGAGCGTTCTCTGGGTGGGTCCTAAGGGTCTTGACTGTGGACCCACACTGGTCAGTACTCTTTGTGCCCAGATTGTTGCCTGGCTGGGAGGTGCTGTGGTTCCCAGGGTTGAGGGTCAGATACAGCCATATTTGGCTAAATCTTCATCAGTGATGGGCTCAAAGGTGAAAGACCACCCAATGGCAGGGAACGTGTCCCAGGACCCCAGAGAGGTAGCTGCCTCTAGCTTTAGCACCAGGGAATCACAGTCAGGGGTCCAGGAGATTTTGGCATAAGAGTGGTCCATCCTTACAACGTCAGCGACACAGCGAGGAGTTGGTGGGACAATGTCAGAAAAAGTGACTGGAATCCTGTCCATAGAGAGTAGGCACGGGCCAGGGTGCATGGGTTCATCGGGATCCAATGGGGGCCCCAAGGATTGAAGGTCAGAGGCACAATAGCACCCTGAAGCCCACACAGGATGCTGGCTGTCCAAGGAAGATTTGTCCTCAGGCACAGGCTGGACTTGGAGATCTGGCGCTGTGCGCACAGCGCCCACCAGGCGGCGCCTCTTAGCCGGGGCCTGAACAATCAACTCTTGAGTCCCCTGTTCCCCAGGATGACCACAACCAGTTGGCTGGAGATCCTGGGTAGATGGGCCGGAGGTTGGCTGTGAGGATGATGGGTCGGGCTTCATGGAGCAGAAGGCCGCGGGCTGGGCGGTGGAGGCAGAACCCGGGGCTGGCCAGGGGCCCAGGGATGGCTGGTGCAAAGGGGTGCGGCCACAATGGGACCCAAGGCCCCTGCGCACTAATCGAGGGGTGTGCATGGCCTGAAGGGGCTTCAGGTGCATCAGGCCCAGCGCTGACCTGCAGGCCGCCCGGCTCTCCCTCCAGGCGCTCAGCTGCTGGCTGCCCAGCGCCCTGGGCTCCACGTGGTCCACGCCAGTGCGGTCCTCCCCGCGCTTCCACAGCTCATAGCGCTCGGGCTGCAGGATGCGCACAAACACGTCCATGGAGAAGTTCACCCTGGCCTCCCCGCAGCTGCACTGAGAGGTCACCTTGCCATAGTCTCTCTCTGTCTCCCTGAAAAACCAATACGTACTTTAAAAAATAAAATAAAAACTTGCTTTAACTCAAGGGAATGATATTCAGATACATATTTCTCAGTCATAAATAATAGAAAACTAAAGTCAGTTCTTCACATTTGCAATAGGAACAAAAGCTCTTTTGGTTACAAGCACAAATAGCAGAAATCAAGTGACTTACTTCCCATCAGCGAAATCCCAATTCCAGGTGAAGGCACTGCAGGATCCAGAGAGACAGTATCCCCTTGAGAGCTGGCTCCAAATGCAGCCCACATCTTCTGGGGCCTGGCTTTATACCCGCGCCATAATCTCTTCATTGCCCTTCCACAGTGATCTCCAATGTATCAGCTTAGTTAATCCCTTTACTTTGTCTAGGCCACGTTTTAAATAAAAAATAAAAAAGGGATCTCCAGTCTTTAAGCATACTAAGGAATTAAAAATAAAGGAGTGAGCCCTAACCAGTCTGGCTTAGTGGATAGAGTGTTGGCCTGTGGACTGAAGGGTCCTGGGTTCGATTCCAGTCAAGGGCATGTACCCTGGCTGCGGGCACATCCCTAGTCAGGAGTGTGTAGGAGGCAGCTTATGAATGTTTCTAGCTCTTTACCCCTCTCCCTTTCACTCTGTAAAAAATCAATTAAATATATTTTTTAAATAAAAAAATAAAAAATAAAGGAGTGAGGAAGTCAAACCGATCAAATATTAAACAGAAAAGAAAACCCACCCTACTCTAGTAGCAATTAATACCATCCTCTCAGAACCTGATCATCAACTAGAGAGGAAAATTAAATGCTATGAAAGTTTGAACAACTAACACCTTTGATCACGTAACCTGCAACCGCATAACAAATGGAAAGTGCTTTTCAATACGTATGAACCATTTGAATAATGTTACCAATTGAAGACCACAAACTAAAGATCAATAAAAATGCCACAGAATTAACATACTGAGAACCCTCTTGGTCACAATCTAATAAAATGGGAAGTCACCAATAAAAACCCTCCCTCCCGTCACACCCAGACCGCCTGGCTAAGTCACCACTTTCCCAGCTTCTAATCTCATTATTTTTGCTCCTGACAAATTTTAGGTGCATTTTTGGAACCTTACTTCTTTGGCAAAGCACGCCCGTGTTGATAGCCTGTGGTTAACTTTGAATGCCTTTGTGTTTTCCACCTCAAACTTGACTAAGTGTTAAAAACAAAACAAAACAAAAAAAAAACAGCAATTAAAAAAGAAGAAAAAATGCAATGCTTCAAAAGTTATTGTTGGGTCTCCTGGTTTGCAGTGTGAAGAAACGGCTGTTTATGATTGGGGGGTTTATGATTAGGGGGTTAAGAGGGAGAAGATAACAATAAAGATACACTTACTAAAAAAAGGAAAAACTTCTGTTCAAACCAGGGATTTCCTAGGTTTGTGCAATTTTCGGTTGCCATTATTTACTTTTTCTCTTCACTGAGGGAGTTCTTGTTGGGGTGATAATCCTTGGGTCTTGAAAGGACTGCCTTTCTTGCTTTCAGACAGGCTGGACCTAAATCATTTCCTCAGGTTTTCTTTTTGTCAGGTAGGAAATTACAGATGAGAGCGGAGGAGAGAGAGAGATGTCAATTGAATGTCTGATCTGGTAACTTCTTGTTTAAAAGACATTTTTAAAGAGAAAATGAGAAAGTCAACAATAAAAACTGAACCAACCATATATATTTGAAAATTAATATCCACATCACATCTATAGTAATATATATTAGTATATCTAAAACTCGATTGTTATTTATTTTTAACTCAAACAATTAGTAACACGCACACACACAGAGAATTATGAAAAAGAAAAGGAAAGATGAGATTAAATGATAAAAAGGGAAACAAGGTGGGCCATTGTGGCTCTATGGTTGAGTGTAGACCCATGAACCAAGAGATTGCAAGTCCTAGGCAGGGCACATGCCTGGATTTGGGGCTCAATGTCCAGTGGAGGCTGTGCAGGAGGCAGCCAATCTATGTTCCACTCTCACCTTGACCTCTCTCTCTCTCTCTCTCTCTCTCCCCCTTCCCTCTCTCTCTTAAAATCAACTTTAACTCTGGCCTGCCAGCCTGAGCCTGTGGGCCTCTCGAGAGGGTGGGATCAGTGGGGTCCTGGGGGACTGAGGCAGTGACATCAAGGAGGGTGTGTGCCCACTGGGCCAGGTGAGCTGCACCTGGAGCAGATGGAGAACTGACCTGTGGGGGGAGGTCTCAGGAAGACAGGAAGCGGGTCCCAGTTGTTTTGAATGTTAAGGGTCATTTTGATCAGTCTTTCCTAAAGGGATATTTTGCATTATGCTGGCTTTTACAGTTCTGGAGAAAGGTCTCTATTTGAAATGCATTTTCAGAGGGCATTCTGTTACCCAGGTCCTGGGTACATGTCCCAGGGCAGGCTGGTTCCTGGTAAAAGCCTGCGGTGAAGGGCGCTGTGTGTCCTGTAGCTACGAAGCCTGGCACCAGAGGTCCCAGATTCATCCACCGCCGCTTAAGGCGGGACCCACGCTCTGTGGCCTGCGCTCCTGGCCCAGCGTGGAGACAGGGTCCTGGGCGCCTGATCTGTGACTTCAATAAAAGATGTTTGCTTTGCAAAAAATAAATAAATAAAAATCAACTTTAAATAACATTTTAAACAAAAAGAAAATCATCAGACAAACTCCAATATATGGGCATCCTACCATATACCTCAGCAATACTTCCCCAAATTGTCAAGTTTCTATATAAACATTTTGTCAGACACAAGTCTGAGAATTTACCGTGTTTCCCCGAAAATAAGACATCCTCCGAAAATAAGACCTACTTACAGGTTTCCTTCTGAGTGAAATATAAGGCATCCCCCTGAAAATAAGGACCCCCTAGGCTAACCATGAGAGATTTGGTCCATTGATTCTGAAAGAAATGGAGTCACAAGAAATTCATCAGAAAATTCAGAAATTGGATTATGATGATGTTCAGAAGATGATGACATGATTGTCATTGAATAAATGAGTAAATTCTTGATACTGTAGGATTCACAGTTTGTCTGGTTTGTGTTGACAACTACTGTACTACCATACTTTATACAGGTAATAAATTTCTTTTATTTTCATTTAACAATAAATGTGTACCATATTCTTCTTCATGGAAAAATAAGACATCCCCTGAAAATAAAACCTAGCGCATCTTTGGGAGCAAAAATTAATATAAGACACTGTCTTATTTTGGGGAAAATAGGGTATTACAAGGGAGAGAAACCAAATATAATGTGGTATTTTGGACGTGATCTTGGAACATAAAATGAACATTGGGTAAACACTGAGGAAATCTGAATAACAGATCTATTGAATACCATAGAGGCATTGGTTCATTCACTGCAACAAATGCACCACAGTAATGTAAGGTGTTAGTAATGGGGCAAAAGGGTGAATTTGAAGTGGAAAATCTGTGCAGCTCTCACCTCTTAGGAATTTTCAAGGGTTTTAGGAGCTCTGTGCCAGATATAGGGATGAAGACCCAACATATGTATACCTATAAATCACAATATTACATAAAATATTCTACTTTTAATCTGTTTCTTTTAACCTGTTTTATTTTCTGTGATCTACCCACCAGTGTTACATGGGCATTCAATGACAGCCATATTTTCATGGTGAAACTTGCCTTTGAGCCTACATTCTAACTTGTCTGATTTTAGCCCCATAACTCCTGCTTTCTGCCTGAACTTGCACAATAGCGTTTGCTTGTCCATTCACTTGTAACTTTTCTGAATCACTTTGTGTTAAAATGACTGAGGTCATTTAAAAGTGGAAGGATGCAATCAGGCAGCACTCAGTGGAGCAGGTGGGAAGCAGCTCCTGGGAGCTGTGCAAAAGGAAAGGCCTTCACAGGCAGAAAGGGGCAGGGGCAGGCAGTCACAGGAGGCAAACACCCGGGTGGGTATTGCAAGATTACCCTCCTTAGGGGATGGAGGGCCATGAGGCAGATGACCTGGCTGATGCTTACCAGGCGAGACCTGGTTGGCTGCCTGGGGTTCCATCTCTGGGAGAGTGTTGTTAAGGTCAGTGTGGTTTGGTGAGGTGCTGCCTAGTGTGAGCGACTCCGATATGGCCCTGTTTTCCTGTTTTTAAATAGCTATGTCTCTTATATCATTCGGAATTTTTAAAAAGCATGTGAAGGATTTTATCTTTCTTTATTTGCAAATACACATTGGGGATAACAACTTTAATAAAACTTAAGTAGGAGATGGTCCCCCTCCAACGCCGAGGATGTGGGTCATGAAGTCACCACCCTCCTCCTGCTGCTCTTGGGGGCGCAGGTCCTGACCCCCACCTGGGGCGGTCCCCACTCCGTGAGGTATGTCTACACCATCGTGTCCCCTCCCGGCTGGGGAGCCCTGGTACCTGGAGGTCCAGGACAACACGCAGTTCAGCCACAGGGGGAGCCTGAGGGCAGAGACGCGGGCTCAGGGGATGCAGCAGCCTTGGGTGGAGCAGAAGGTCCCCTCATGGGGACATAGAAAGGGGGAGGTGGAAGGGACCCGCACAGTGTTACCCAGGGGCGAGGGGAGTGGGGGCCAGTGAGGCTGAGCTTCCCAAAAGCTACCTGCAGGGCTCCTGCATGAAATGGCTCCGCATTTACCTGGAAAGAGGGAAGGAGGCCCTGCCGCCCACAGACCCTCCAAAAGGCACAGGTGACCTACCAGCCCATCTCTGATCTTGAGGTCTCCCTGTGGTGCTGGGCGCTGGGCTTCTACACTGCGAACCTCACCCTGACCTGGCAGTGTGACCAGGAGGACCAGACCCAAGACATGGAGCTTGTGCAGACCAGGCCTGCGGGGGAAAGGACCTTCCAAAGCGGGCGGCCCTGTGGTGCCCCCTGGAGAGGAGCAGAGATACACGTGCCACCTGCAGCACGAGGGGCTGCCCGAGCCCCTGAGCCTGAG